TAGAGAGAAGCCAAGCAGGAGCTGTAGCTCCTAATCGCTCCTGAGAGTAGCCGTGGGCCCATCAAATAAAAACCCAACCTCCCAACTCAAGGCGAGTACTAGTATAGGGAGGGTGAAGGAGAATCAGGATGTAAAAGCATTGAGGATATAATATGTAGCAGTATTGGGCTAAGATTAAGAATAGCATGTCATAATATCAATAAAGTTAAAGGCAATAGGTCTAAATTGAGAATGTTAACGAAATGGCAAGAGAGTGAAAATATCGATATCCTAGAGATAACAGAAACAAATACAAACAGTAAAGAGCTTGGATTCAGCTTAGAAAGTAGACATAAAGGTTACTAGACACAAAGCGAGATAATAAAACGTAAGGGCTCTAGTGTAGGATTAGTTATAGGTGCAGAATAGAAAAGATATTTAGGGAGTATTACAAGGTTCGAAGAATATATGATCGAGGCAAGATTCTTTTTCAAGGGTGCCGAAATTAGTATAATTGTAGTATATATACCACCAAATGACAAGGCACAAGCATGAAAGATACAGCAAAAAATCGTATCCAAGTATATGGAAAGAAATCCAATATCACACTTTATTGTAATAGGTGATTTCAACCATATAATAGACAAAGAATTAGACAAAGTAAGCCAAAGCGTAAACAGTATACCGAAAGTTCTTCCATTACACAGATGGCTTATGAGCCAGGGTTTTGGTGATATATTTAGGGTGTTCAATCCTGAGCTCAAAAGATACACATGGTCAGGGCAAGGCACAAGTACAAAAATTGACCAAATATGGGTATCAGAAATGCTACAGTTAGGTGTCGAGCAAGCAAAAATTGTAGAAGCAGATGTAATTACAGAGAGTGACTATAATATTGTATGGGCAGACATATCACTTAAGCATGTAGTAAGAACGCATAGCCAAGCAAAGAAAAGAAGGGAAGGCATAGTAAGAACAATTTTTCAGTATAACAAAGCATCTGATGAAAATTGGCGTGATTACCATAAAGATCTAGACAAGTTCTTAAAGAGAAACCATAAGCTAGATAAGCTGCAACAGACAAGTTTTGAAACTAATATAAATAGAATATGGGATATTATATCAGAAGCAATTTGATACGCAGCAAACAAAAACATACCAAGAAAGAAAGTGACAAATGATACCTTCTATATGAAATGCAAGCGCAAGACCTTAGCTCTACACAAATCTATTGTGGCACTCAGCAAGATAATACAGTCAGTCAAGAGGGCACTAGATACGAGAACGTTTCTGGTTAGGGTAGATGACACAAATAAAGCAATAGACAAAATAAATACAGAACAAGGTATTAATATAGAGCACATTAGGCATATTGACGAGGCCACATTAACTGGATGGTACAAGTAGCAAAGCATGGTTTGAAAGCTATGAGATTGCAAGAAAGGCTTAAAGATGACAAGCAGGTGAGAGAGGT